ACCCCTCATAGCCCCCCCCCCCCAATAGTCTGGCATATCTGATAATCCGGCACCCTCTGGGTCCTAAAGGTGCCGGATTATCAGAAGTTTACTGTACACTGTATCCACTGGCCCACCCTAGTTCAAAGAATTCTAATAGATTGATGAGGCATAATCTCTTTTCAAAAAGCAGTGTTGACTCTTCCCCAAAAGATTAAGTTCATTTATGTGTCTGGTAATTCTGAAGTTTCAACCAATATGGGTCTAAGTGTCTGAAGTTTGGAAAAAGAATTTAAATTTAATTTTGACTGTGGTACGGAATCCTGAGGCGGGTCTTTGATGCATGCAAAAAGCATGACACAGTAGCAAATCAATAAAATAGTGAGAAAAGGAAAAGATTCTGAATAATACTGCCAAAAATTAACTAATAAAATGCTACTTACATTAGGCCTCAAGATTTGGTGAGCTCGGTCTTTGATTGTGGACTCTCACAAGAGGTGTATTCTTGATAATTTACATCTTCTCTATGTGTCTTCATGTCTTCCACAGACTGGCATTTCTCTTGGGTTTTCACAGTCAGCCCTGCGGCTTCTTCCTTTAGCTTTGGTTGGTCATTTGTTGTTGTCTCTTTAGATTTAGATAAGTCTTCTGAAACGGTCATATACATTGCTGATTTTTGAGCCCCTAAACTTTCACTTGAAAGATCTTCAGGAACCGGCACAATTTTTCCTGAATCCTGAATTTCTCCCTCTTTTGACATACCAGAAATTAATGGCACATCTTCTGTTTGTTGTACAGTAGCCTGTTTCTCTGCAGACTGTGTTAAAATAGGTTTGATTATACTTGGTTGCTGGAACTCTCGTTCTTTATCCTCTATTGTGTCTCCACCTTTTACAAGAAGCTGCTGATCCGCCTGTATGCTATCCTGAACTCCATATATATTTATATCTTTTTGGCTTCCATCTGTTGATTCCATCTGCTTCTGTGACACAGCAGCTGGCTCTTCTGTATTTTCGAGTTTGTCAACGGCAGTCTGAATTATCTTTAATACAATTTTTGTACTCTGTGATTCTATGGTGACAGACTGAACAACATCTTTTTCAAATTCTATGTGGGTTAGACTTGGGCTTTTTTTATCTTGAGAAACTATTTTATCGTGTGTTGTGGAGCTTGTTGCTGTCTCAGTCTTTCCATCCACTGTTGTGATGCTCATCTCTGATACCGACACTGTTTCTTCACTCCTACTGACTGTAGCCCCAAATTCTGAATGAGCAATGGTAGTTCCTTGGACTAGTTCAGAGGACAGTTTCTCAGGCACAGCTTCTAAAGTTTCAGCTGGGGTTTCCATAGGTGCCACAGTTTCTGCAACAATTTGTTCTTCAACTGCTGCAGCTGTAATCAGCTGTACGGATGCTTTTTGAGCCTCAGAGCTTTCAATGCTAGGAATGGGTGAACCAGTAGCTTCCAGCTGCACAGCTAAAATCTCTTGCTGCATGGGAGTCGAATAAAGTTTATCACCACTTGCAACTTCCAATTTTCCAGATTCAAGCAGCAAATCTTTTTCTATTTCCCTCATTAGCTCAGACTTGATTTCCTCTCTCTGACTGCAACTTGAATTTGTTGCAGTCAGCAGAAGTGTTTGCTTTGCTTCCATGGCCTCCTCTTCACCTCCCTTTCCATGCACAGGCAGTTCCTTAGGACACATGTCGCTCTGCACAGAGGCCTCATTTACAACTGCCAGCTGTAAATTACATGGGGCATCTTCTACATCATTCTGCATGGGGGCCTCAGATGCAACCGCTTCAGTGCTTTCTGATTCAACGGTAAGCACAGCACCTTCTGCCTCTCTTGTCACAGGGGACTCAATCACCACGCTCTGCATGGCATCTCCAGTTACAACTGCCTCTTTGCATTTGGATTCTAAGGAAAACAAGGCACCTTCCACCTCACTCTGCATAGAGATCTCACTGCCCTCACTCTTCATGCTGGTTTCTATTGCAGTTATTTCTTTGCATTTAGATCCTATGTTAAGTACAGACTCATCCTCATTCGGCACTGTAGCCTTAGTGGCAATTTCTTCCATGTCAGTCTGCATTGTAGCCTCAGTAGCAATTGTGCTTGTGCATTTTGCTTTCAAGAGAGGTACGGTATCTCGCACCTCGCTTTGCATGGGGGCCTCAGTTGCAAGTGTTTTTGTGCATTCTTGTTCTACAGTCTGCACAGCATCTTCCACCCCACGCTGTTCAGAGGCCTCAGCCAGGTCACACTGCATTGGAGCCTCAGGTGAAACTATTTCAGTGCAGTCTGATTCTAAGGTAAGCACGGCATCTTTCACCACCTCCTTCACAGGAGCCTTGATCACCTCACTCTGCATCACTCCTTCAAGAACAGTTCCTTCCACTTCACTCTGCTTGGTGGCCTCAGTCACTTCACTCTGTGCCATGACCTTTATGCCCTTTGATTCTTCATTAAACATAGCATCTTGCCCCTCTCTTTGTGTAGAGGCCTCAGTTACACAATTCTGCACAGGAGCTTCCAATGAAAGTACTTCAGTGCATTCTGATTCTAAGGTAAACACGGCATCTTCCACCTCTTTCTTCACAGGAATCTCACTTGCAAGAGCTTCTGGGTAAGTTGGTTCTAAGGCCTCCTTGGCATCTTCCCCTTCACTCTGTACTGGGATGTCCGTCCCCTCAGGCCAACAGTGGGACTCAGCTGCAACTGCTTCTCTACATTTTGATTCCAACGTGAGCATGGCATTTTCTGTCTCACTTTGAATAGGGGTTTCAGTTACATCACTCTGCAAAGGGGCTTCTGTTACAGTTACTTGCATGCATTTTGATTGTAAGCTAGGCACCATGTCCACCGCTTGCTTAAATTCCTGGGAAAACTCAAGCTTTGCATCATGTATTTCAATTACAGATCCATCCAGTTCTGGAGAACCTTCATCTATGATTTCACCTGGAGTTATTTCTATTAACTTTACTTCAGCCTCTTCAGTTGAGATTTCTTGTGGTTCTTCTACTGATACATACTCAGCTTTCACTTCAGGCCCTGCCTTGGTAGTTACTGCGACACTACTGTAAAATTCCTCCTCTTTCAATTTATATTTCTCTGGAATTCCTTCTACTTTAGTAAGTGTTTCTTCATGTCTTTCTACAAATGATTGTTCGGTTTCTTGTAACTGACTTCTATCTGCCAATCTATCCAGACTTTTAGCTTCTCCTGTGTGTTCCTTCATCACAGCATACTTTTCACCCATCTCTGACATTTCCTGTGGAACACTTTCATGAGCTTCATTTCTGCCTTGAACACTTCCTACAGTTACCATGTGTTGAATGTCAGTCTCTTCAGGTTCCTCTTTCTTTAAGGACTGTTTAGCCAACACAGTTTCTTGACACATGTTTTTAACTTCATTAGCTTCATCTTTCTTTTCAGATCCAATTTTCTGTACTGATTGAGTAAGGACTCCTGTCACAGTTCTTTTGCTTATCTGTGCTTCATCTGACAGCTTCACTCTTTCTACAACTTCCTCAAGAATTTCCTGTGTTTGTTTATTTAATTCTTCTAAATTTTGTTCAGTCCCTTCCATCTCCTGCACAGGTGTAACTTCTTCCGTAGTGTTTGGGGATTCCGTTAACCGTGACACTGCAGAAACCATCTCAGTCGTCTCCTCTGCAACAGACATCTCTATTGCTCCTTCACCACAGGAAACTTCTGTTGCCTCTTCTAGTGCTGTCAATGCTTCTGAAGTTAACTCCAGTTCACTTACTATAGTATCATCACTAACATCCTTACTCAACTCTGGCAAAGTTTTAGTAACCACCACTTTCTCTTCTACAGCAACTTCAGTTTTAAATATCTGTTCAGTTGGTTGTTGTTCATCTTTTTCCTGTTCAATGGACTCGGTCACCGTAGCAGATATCCAAGATGGTGATCTTTCTTCTATACTAGTTACTGCTCTCTCCCCTTCTACAACAGTCACAGTAACTGCATGAACCAGTCCTTCATTAGATTGCTCAATAATTAAGGTATCTTCTAATTTTTCAGCTCTCTTTTCATCTAAAGTTCCTTCCCTTATTTCCTCAGCTTGTGTTGCTTGTTGGGCTTCAATTTTTTCTTGTTCAGCTGCTTCATACTCAGATAAAGGAACAACAGCTGGAACATCGGAGTCTTCTTCATTGGTTTCTGTCATTTCTTCTCCAGCTTCCTCAACACAAGCTTGTTCTGGCTTCCCATCAGACTTTTTCTTCCGACGACCAGGTATTAATTTTTTAAATGAAACCCATGTTTCTTCTTTTCCAGGTTCACCATCTGAAGTAGAATGTTCTATGCTGGAAACTAACACAGATTCTTCAGTTCTCTCTTCCATTTTGGTTTTGGATTTTCTTCTTGGAGTGACTAGCCTTTTAAATGATTCCCAGGTTGAAACACCCTCTCCTTCAGATGGACTTCCAGCTTGTTCTGGTGAGGAACTTCCTTGTCCTTGATCACTTTCTTGGGAACTAGTTAGGATAGGGTCTGGTGCAGTTTCATTGCTTTGTCCAATGTCATCTATTTTTTGACCTTCTTGAGCAAGCCTCTGTCCTACTTCCTCATCAGAAGAGGATGATTTCCTAGCTCTTTTCTTGGAGGAGCCTACACAAATTAAGGCTTCCCATGATACAGAAGTATCAACCTTTCGTTTTGGCTCTTCTGTGCTTTTTTCTAGCTTCTGCTCCTCACCATTTACTTTAGTTTCTTCTTGATTTTCAGAGACTGCACTTTCAGTAGAAGACAAGGTAGCACTCTTTGCCTTATCAATTTCTTCTTCTTTGTCACTTTCAGAAGGCCTTCTGACACGTTTCTTAGGAGTCACCATCTTTTTAAACGATGCCCAAGGAGTAACACACTCTCTTTTCCTCTCTACATCTGAAGTTACTCCTTCTTCTGTTTCAGTGAGCTGTGTTACATCTATGGCTTTATCCACCGAAGGAGGCTCTGTTGATTCTTCAGGTGAAGAGGCAGAGCTCTCTGCTTTTTGTTCTTCTGGACTTTCTGGGGAATCAGCTAAATGTTGAATTTGTTCTGCTTGTTCCCCTGGCTTAGTTTCTTCTCTCTTTCCTTTATGCTTCTTTCCAGAAAGTTTCTTTAAACCAGTACCAGTAAAAAGTTTCTTTAAGGGGCTGCCTTGCACTTTGGCTCTTTCTTGTGAGGACAACAGTTCAACCTCATTTGTGATACCTTCTGGAGGTTTACATGCAGCTGCATCTTCAGGGCTTGGTTCTATTTGCTTGACATGATCGTCCACTATTATCTCTACTGTTTCTTTGGCCTTCAACTGTTCAATTCTTTGTATCTCACCATCTCCTTCAACTGATTGCTCAGAAGCTGAAGACAACATCTGTTCTCTCTCATTTGTTTTAACTTCTATAGTGCTAACATGAACTTCTACCTCTGTCTCTATCTTTTCATCAAAGATTTCACTTGCTAGTGGAGCTATTGGTTCAGACTTCTCAATTTTTTCACCAAACACTTCTATTGCCACTGGAACAACAGTTTCAAACCCTTCTTTGGATTTTCCTTTAGATTCTTCTAATTCTGCTAGTTCAGATTTCTCTTCAAAGTGTATTTCATTTTTTTCTTCTGGGGATATTTTACCTTCTTTCACTGGTTTTGATATTTCTTCAGGGGAAAGATCTCCTTTTTCTTCACAGAGTATTTCAGATTCCTTGTTTACACTTTCAATGGTCTGTTGTGGAAGTGGCTGTTCAGAAGGAATACTTTCTTCCTTCAAACTTGCTTCTGCTAGGATCTCTACTGGGATCTCTGTCACTTTCCCTTCTTGCTCCTCCTTTTCTCTCTCAGTTTTCTCCTCACTTGTTTCTAATGGGATCTCTGCAACATCTTTTTCTTGCTCTTGTTTTCCCCTCTCAGAAGTCTGCTGCTCATCCTCTTTAGTCTTCCTAAAACTTGTCTTTTTCCTAAACCCAGCCCAACCCTGAGTAAAGAATTTTCTTAGTGGTGATGCAGTTTCATTAACTAATGCATTTGTTGGAGACTCGGGTGACTTGCTAGGTTCTTTTCTTCCTTCTGCCTCTTCATTTCCTTCAGCTTCCTCACTAGGGCTTTCTGCTGCCTTTTCAGGAGGAGATTCATCTTTCCCTTCCTCACTGATTGGTTCTTCTTCTTCAGTCTTTTCTGCAGAGAGAATCACTTCACTTGGTGTCGCTTCCTCTACCTTTTCTAGCTCAACTTCTTTATGATCTCCTGCTCCATTTGCTGCCATTTCTGCTTCCTCTTTTTTTACGGTCAGTAGCTGAACCGGTTCAGACTTTTCTGTCTTATCTTTTTTAACAGTAAACTTGAATCCAACAAATTTAAAAACCTTTTTAAATCCAACATCATTAGCCTGAGACTCACTGGGTTGTTCTAGCTCTTCTACATTGTCTTCTTCTGATTGCAATTGTTCATTAGCTTCTTGAACATCCTTCTGTACATCTTCCACACCATCCTTATCAGTTGATTCTGGTGGCATGGCTTCCATATTTTCAGGTAGCTCTTCTTTTACAATCACATCTGTAGGTTCTCTTTGTCCAACTATAAAAAAGTAAAAATCAGAAACAAATTAGATTTGCTGTAATCTTCATTCACAGCTTAATTTACGAATTTAAATCACTCAAATAAGGTATTTCAACTTTTAATGCATATACTAATTTAGATCTTAATGTGACATAGTTCAATATTATGGTGGCAATTCCAAGGTCTGCTAATACAGGCTTTATCAGCAGTTCTTATAAACTTAGCTTCCCCCTCATTTGTAAGTGGTAAAGAAAATCATGTCTGGACTTGTTGCTTGACAGAAAGCTCATTCAGAACATTCTAGGCTCACTCTTTTTCTGTGCAAGTGAAGTTCAAGACTATAAAACAGGTTAGGTTTTATGTGGGTAACAGCTGTTCACTTCAGAAATGCTACTACTACTGAGGATAGCATTAGCAATTTTTTTTCTGAAGCAGACGTTCAACCTCCTTCCCAGTTAGAAGAGCACAGCATCAAGAATGAAAGATTGCAGTGGACAACATGCTGCCGGAAGGGGAATATTTTCTTATGGCTCCATCTGAATATAATACAACATGACATGGTCCATGGCCGAGCCTAAAACAGAATGCAAGTATTCTCACCACCAGTTGTCCTCTGCTTCAGCCACAAGCCAGACATTTCTGCACTGTTTATTAAGACTTTAAAAAATTAAGCATTTTTTCAAATGGCAGTGCATATAGTTCCATGCCTTTACACATCTTCAACAACAAATATGATCATAATCACCAATCCTGCAAACTCACCCTGAGATCTTATAGTCTTTCATTTTTCCACATATCACCAGTATTGAAATGTTCGACAGCTAAATTCCTCCCCAGTAAAACAGCTGGTAAAATTAGTGAGGTTGTAGGTGTAAAAAGGAGTATAGTTTGGCTTGCACAGTGATGATGATGCATGAGAAGGCAAGAACCCAATTTTAATCTCAGTTCTTAGCAGCTTTATCTCTAGCACCATCCTGGGTGCTCCTGTGACTTTTACTCCCGTTAGACATAGCACTGTCCCAGTAAAGTCAGAGGACACCTGTGATTTCAAAAATCCAGTAGTCTCAGGAGGGAAGGAAAAAAGAACAAGTATACTCCATCCGGTCTATATTAGGCACTCTTTGTTATGAATGTCCACTGGTGCAGCCATGCTGGTTTTAGTATTGGGAGGAGGCCAGTCTCTGTTCCCTTCCACTCTTATGTTTATATGGACAGGAGAGGACAGAAGAACACAAGCCCTAAGGAATCTATTTTTCCTTCCTGTCTCTCTGCACAGATATGGTAGTCTGCATGCAGAATGCAGAGCCTTCTACTCTTACTCCCCAGCACTGCCACAAACAAAATCACAATGTAGCCCTAAAAAACTAAAAATTGTTTGTTTTTCTGTTCTACAAGAGATTTTCCAAAACCTTACTTCAAAAAGAAAATTTTCAGTTAAGATTTTCAAACATTTAACTTTCTACTTACAGTGCACCTTTCTGCACCACATGCTGACATGTGCTTCACTCAGTGTATCAATCTGAGCCCTTCGTACTTCTCTACAGCTCCTCAAAAGGGACAAATCTCTTACAGCTTTCATGCTAAGAGCATTTGGCCTCTAGGTGGAGATAGTTTAGCTTATGGATTAAATCAGGGGTGGGGAACCTCAGGCCCACAGGCTGGGGGAGGGCTCCCG